CTGGCTGGCGTGGCACAGGCACGGGCAGGAGCCAGGAGGCAGTGAGCAGTGTCCTGGGCAGGTGTCCGCCTTCCTCCAGACAGGGCTGCCACTCATGGGTACATCCCAGCTACTGGGCAAGGCCCGTGGTCGGCAAACTGCGGCTCAAAAGCCACATGAGGCTCTTTGGCCCCTTGAGGGTGGCTCTTCCTAAGCCTTAGGAGCACCCTAATTAAGTTAATAACAATGTACCTACCTATATAGTTTAAGTTTAAAAAATTGGGCTCTCAAAAGAAATTTCAATCGTTGTACTGTTGATATTTGGCTCTGTTGACTAATGAGTTTGCCGACCACTGGGCAAGGCGGTGCAGAACCAGGCCAACCCGAGTGGCACCGAGGCCTTTGCCCAGGGTGTGTGTGGTCACAGGCGGCCTGAAGAGGTAGGTCGGGTCCTCTGCCTGGACAGGAGGCCAGGAGGCCAGTGGCCACTCTCGGGACTCAAGGGTCTCCAGAGGCCGCCATCAAGGGGACTAACTGGGTTACCCCCAGCCTGTGGGTGGCAGCTGTACCCCCTCAGGAGCACTAATGGGGGAGCTCTGGGAGGAGGGAAGGGAGGGGGTCAGGGGTGCTGGTTGCGGGGTCCTGGCCTCTCCTAGCTGCACAGTCCGTAGTTCCAGTTTGAGAACATTTCCTGGCTCCATTCACTTGATTCTGGGGTGGACCCCTAGTGCCCGAGGGTGTCCGAATCCTGGCCCAACCCACCCTATCGCACCTCGGTGCCTGGCCCTGAACCACTCCCCAGTTCCTAGAAGTTGCACCTGCTCTTCTCCACACCATTGTTCACCTGTGATGCGGCCTCCTCCAGGGAGGCCTCCTCCGTAAGCCTCCCACCCCCGGGCCTAGGTTCTCACTATCCATTCCTGGCCCAGGGGGTTCAGCGTCAGGGTCCGGAGCGTGGACCCACCCAAGAGGGCGGCGATGGGCCCGGCACGGCCCCGGCGCTTTGCGGGGCACTGTTCTCCCCAGGACCGACGGG